CGAGTAATCGTAAGTAAGCTGTAATTTACATCACTTACAAAGAATAAGAAAAGCATTGTAAGGACATGGCAGCTACGATGGGTGGGGCTTATGTCGTTTCTGATTCAAAACCACGCAACAGGTTTTTGTACAAGGAGGACATGATATGAATTCATTGTGCAGGGCTCGCTGCACAGTAATATACTGCACTGTGCTCGGGCTGCAGGTCCTTTATAAACATGGAAGCATTCTTGGCTTTTTCTCCACTTAAATCTCCAGTAAATGTAAAATGTTTCTTAAAAGATTCCTCATAATCATTGCTTCCGTAAGATATATGTCCAATACGTTTGATTGACAGGTCGCCAGGTAACTTTTGGTACCAGTGCATCATATAATAATCCATTTTCTCATGACTGCAGACTACTTGGATCTGCTCTCCTGGGTTTTTGAAGACATCTGATGGAGACTGGTGGATTTGAACAGAAGCAAGGCAAATGTGTAAAAGTGAAAACCAAATCAATAATGTTTGCATGTTGTCTGGTCTGAGACTTCACATCTACTGTGACAAGTCTGATTCATAGATGTTCTTTTTGATCAAATCCAGGTGGTGTGTAGATTCGGTCTGGTGTGTTCCTGAAGCTACAGCGCCACCTACAGGGAGTCATAAACACAAACCATCCACTACTCCAATGGAAAGTTGTAATGAACTTATCCTAATGACTTACAGGGCGTTCCTTTAATTTTTTCTGTAAGTGGTCATGTTCAAGACTCTATATGAAAAAGAGGAATACGACTTTTTTTTATTTATTTCTATTTTGGTTATATGTTTTTGTCTGTTTTGGTTTATTTATGTTGCAAAGACTTAAGACAGAATAGATCTTAAAACCTTAAAGTTGCATGATTTTGTCTGTCTACTAGTGGTCATAAGGTAATTACATATATTTGTAATATTATAGAGCTAAATATTTATGTTGCTGTATTGTCTCAACAAGCAGCTGCACTGTTTTATTAAAAGAATTTGCACATTAAAAGTGGGTGTGGCCAACTGAAATGTATCTAACTTTTGAGTTAATGTGGTTTTTGTATTGAGAAATGGGGACTTTTACCACTGTGAGAGAAGCTGCACAGTAATAAATTGCACTGCTTGGCTCTTCGATGGTTAAAGTTGAAGTTTTGCCTTTGTTTGCATCTCCTCTAATTTGTACTTTAGCTCCAGACTCTGGAGATGGTGAAGTGACCACCAGGTAACCCAACAACTGCAGCTGTCCGTCATTCAGCTGTTTGTACCAGAGGATTCGATTGTAGTTATCGATGTAATGGGAACATTGGATTTCAGCGCTGGTTCCTTTTGTGTTGTATATGTCCTTTGGAAATTGGTGGACCTGATCATTCAGAGAAGAACCTACAAAAAATATAGTTAAGTAGAAAGTTGAGCAAATTGTACAGTGCTTTGTTATGGAATTTATATTACCTGAAACAAGATTAATATGAAAAGATAAAATCAATGTGATGAACATCTTGCTGTTTTTATGATCAAATGGGGAATCAGTTTGGAGACATTGTAAGAACCACCAAGTAATCGTCCAATCAGGAAAGAGTGTGTATGTAGTGGGTGTGGTCAAATGTGTCCAGTTCCTGATTTACCTTTGTAGAGACTTTGCATTCTGCAGATTTATGTTCACCTGTTAGATATAGAATAAGTCCAAAACATTTCATAGTGGCCATGTTGTGTTGTTCAGCTGAATCTTACATCACTTACAATGAATTAAAAAAAGCATTGTAAGGACATGGCAGCTGCGATGGGCGGGGCTAATGTGGTTTCTTATTCAAAACCACTATACAGGTTTTTGTACAAGGAGAACATGATATGAATTCATTGTGCAGAGCTCGCTGCACAGTAATATACTGCACTGTGCTCGGGCTGCAGGTCCTTTATAAACATGGAAGCATTCTTGGCTTTTCCCACACTCAAATCTCCAGTAAATGTAAAATGTTTCTTAAAAGATTCCTCATAGTCATAGTTTCTGTTGTATATATGTCCAATACGTTTGATTGACAGGTCACTAGGTAACTTTTGGTACCATTGCATCATATAATAATCCGTTTTCTCATGACTGCAGACTACTTGGATCTGCTCTCCTGGGTTTTTGAAGACACCTGATGGAGACTGGTGGATTTGAACAGAAGCAAGGCAAATGTGTAAAAGTGAAAACCAAATCAATAATGTTTGCATGTTGTCTGGTCTGAGACTTCACATCTACTGTGACAAGTCTGATTCATAGATGTCCTTTTTGATCAAATCCAGGTGGTGTGTAGATTCAGTCTGGTGTGTTCCTGAAGCTACAGCGCCACCTACAGGGAGTCATAAACACAAAGCATCCACTACTCCAATGGAAAGTTGTAATGAACTTATCCTAATGACTGAAAGTGGGTTCCTTTTATTTATTACATAAGTGGTCATGTTCAAGACTCTATATGAAAAAGAAAATATTTTTCATTATTGTTTTGGTTATATGTTTTTGTCTGTTTTGGTTTATTTAAGTGGCAAAGACTTAAAACAGAATAGATCTTAAAACCTTAAAGTTGCATAATTTTTTCTACTAGTGTTCATAAGGTAATTACATAAGTTGCAGATTGTAATATTATAAAACTAAATATTTATGTTGCTGTATTGTCTCAACAAGCAGCTGCACTGTTTTATTAAAACAATTTGCACATTAAAAAGTGGGCATGGCCAACTGAAATGTATCTAACTGTTGAGGCAATGTGGTTTTTGTTTTGAGAAATGGGGCCTTTTATCACTGTGAGAAGAAGCTGCACAGTAGTAGATCGCACTGCTCGGCTCCTCTATGGTTAAAGTTGAAGTTTTGCCCTTGTTTGCATCTCCTCCAATTTGTATTTTAGCCCCAGACTCTGGAGATGCTGAAGTGCCCCAGATGTAACCCAACAACTGCAGCTGTCCGTCATTCAGCTGTTTGTACCAAAAGATTCGGTCGTAGCTGTTGATGTTATGGGAACATTGGATTTCAGCGCTGGTTCCTTTTGTGTTGTATATGTCCTTTGGAAATTGGTGGACCTGGTCATTCAGAGAAGAACCTACAAAAAATATATAGTTGAGTAGAAAGTTGAACAAATTGTACAGTGCTTTGTTATGGAATTTATGTTACCTGAAACAAGATAAATATTCAAACATAAAATCAATGTAATGAACATCTTGCTGTTTTTATGATCAAATGGGGAATCAGTTTGGAGACATTGTAAGAACCACCAAGTAATCGTCCAATCAGGGAACAGCATGTATGAAGTGGGTGTGGTCAAATGTGTCCAGTTCCTGATTTACCTTTGTAGAGACTTTGCATTCTACAGATTTATGTTTATTTATTTTTATTTATTTATTTATTTATTTCATAAAGCATAAAAAGAC